GAGCATTTGATGAAACCATTACACGTGCTACAGGATTGGTAGTCTCCATTCTTCTTTCCTTTACAATCGCTCACGCAAACTACATTGAAAGGTTTCAGAATCAACATGGTAGTAACAAGTTTGATCTACAGACTTACCTTAAAAAGACGCATTAAATACAACATCAATTACGACTTACACTTCTTTTAAGGGTTTCAAAAATACATGAAGTAGTAGTACCTAGTAGTACTTAGTTTTAAGTAGAAGCTATGTACTATATTAAAATAAATTAATTCAAAATTTTTTGACGTTATCATGCATCAAACAAACAAAAAACTCCACAAAACGGCACAATTCTTATGGGAAATAATTCTACTTAGAAGTGTTGGAAATAGATCATATAACAATGTAACAATGTTGAATGACCTTATAAAACATTTCCCCATCCCAAGGATATCTCCGTTTTCATCTAATCAGTCAACTTTTTTTCCCATTTTAAAGCAGCAAAGATGACAATGAAGTGAATATGTAAAAGCAAAACTTTTAGTTGGTCGATCACATTGTTGCTCCAGACAATTATATTTCAAATATTTCTTAACTGGTCATATCAGAAATATGGGAGATAAGCAGTGTCATTCCCAATCAGCACCCTTTTCGTTATGATATAAAAGTAGCAAATATATCCGGTCAAATACAATTTTTTAGCCAAAGCTCTTCAGATTACAAGATGAAACAGAAAAGACAGTTCTTTGAACACTACCATTTGTTTGACATGAATGCTTGTTGCAATCTTGCTCCTCTTTGGTATCACCAGAACATGGAAGATTGCCTGTAGAGGAACATTGTCGGCTTCTGCTGCGCTTGCCTCCTCCACATTGTTTGCTACATGACGACCATTGTCCCCAAGCCTTGAACTCTGCATATCCTACAATACACAATTAGAACTTCATTGCTTCTTACTATACAAATCTTTAAAATCGTTCTCAATTTCTGACGTGAACACCTTTTAATCCTTTCTGAATTATTTTGTAAAAAAAAAATTATCTACCGTGGTCTTTGTTACACAGATCCCCGGTGCAACACATGGTGCATTCCTTGTCTTTTGCATCACATTTAGGCTTGCAATCCTTGGTCTTTTCGCATTTCTTGCGAATTTCGCCTTTATCTCTGCGTATCTTTGTTTCACAAGTCTGCAAGATCAAACATTCAAAAGCTTAAGCTCATTTCAAACATCTGCTCATCAACCAACTTCTTTTATTCTTTTAACTGGACTGAATTTTTCTCCCAGTTGGATGGATAACAAAAGGAAGGAGACCTCGTAGATTCTTAATATTTAATTGCTAAGAACGAACATGTATTAAAACGTACATCAATTCAAGCAAAAAACGGTTTAGCAAATGGTTTTTGAAACGAATCTTTGGTAACAGCATGGATCTGCCCAACCCTACGCACATCTTTCCACTTTCAAAGTATTTGCTAGTTTTACCTCCTCATCCTTCTTGCAAGTTTCTATCTTTGTACAGTCACTATTTTTCTTTCCGTGTGAGCACGTGTAACATCTCTGTACACCTGAAAATATAAGACATTAAGGATGTTTAAGTCCTGTCTATTGCATTAGAAAATATCAGTTCATTCTTTTTCCTCTCAATACCTTTCTAACTTGGAATTTTATTGGGGAACCCCATAGAACATAGCTGCCCATAGCTGCATATCTAAATAACCTATTTTATATTCGTATAAAACGAGTTTCATTGTAAAATCAATCAGATTGTTTTCAAGTATGCGTTTCCTCCAAAATTGTTTACTCGCCAAAAAGACAAGCATTTCAATTTATCTCGTGGAAAGGTGATAATGATATAGCGAACTTATGTACGCATAAAAATTAAAGTCTTACCCTTAATTCTTTCAGAACTCGAAAGTTAATTCTAATGAGACAAAGACCTCTGCTTTCAAAAATAAGAAAAAAACGAATTAACACATTTTCAACACTACCTTTCGGAGGACATGAGTGCTTGTTGCAATCTTGCTCCTCTTTGGTATCACCAGAACATGGAAGATTGCCTGTAGAAGAACACTGTCTGCTTCTGCTGCGCTTGCCTCCTCCACATTGTTTGCTACATGACGACCATTGTCCCCAAGCTTTGAACTCAGCATATCCTAATTAACAAAATCACACTTCTTATAACACATAATTCTTCCAAGACGTTTCACAATTTCTTCCGTAAACACGAATTATATTTAAATTTCTTTTGTTATTTTACGTTAATTTTCTTCCTACCATGATCTTTGTTACACAGATCCCCGGTGCAACACATGGTGCATTCCTTGTCTTTCGCATCACATTTAGGCTTGCAATCCTTGGTCTTTTCACATTTCTTGCGAATTTCATCTTTATCTCTGCGTATCTTTGTTTCACAAGTCTACAAATTCAAACATTCCAAAACTTATCAAAAACATCTGCTTATCAACCAACTTCTTTCATTCTCTTGCATGCACTTAATTTTCTCAGTTTTGAGTTTAAAAGGAAAACATCGAAGAACATGAATATATCCAATCTATGGACATCTCTCCACTTTCAAAGTATTTGCTAGTTTTACCTCCTCATCCTTCTTGCAAGTTTCTATCTTTGTACAGTCACTATTTTTCTTTCCGTGTGAGCACGTGTAACATCTCTGTAAAGCTGGAAATACAAAACACATTCATTGTCAGTTTATTCTATTTCAGTAAAAGATATCACTTTATATTCTTTCATGTCAGCTTGCACAAAACCAGAAGGAAAATGCACGAAGAGTACATATTTTTTCAAAATCTGTTTTGAAGTTCTTATTTTATTTGCCTGTAAAAATAATAAACCTAGAAACCAAATTCTTTCATCTACTTATCGCAACCCACCTAAAAGAAATATTCAAAGTGGCTGGCCTACACTAAAACCACTGATGTAACAATCAGATGATATTTTCATTCCTACCTGGTTTAGAATTACAGGTAGTTGATGTCCATTCACATCTTTTAGATTTGTCATCCCAGACAGTTGATCCTGGGCATTTGAAATTATGCAATTTGGAGTTGGAGCATTTGATGAAACCATTACACGTGCTACAGGATTGGTAGTCTCCATTCTTCTTTCCTTTACAATCGCTCACGCAAACTACATTGAAAGGTTTCAGAATCAACATGGTAGTAACAAGTTTGATCTACAGACTTACCTTAAAAAGACGCATTAAATACAACATCAATTACGACTTACACTTCTTTTAAGGGTTTCAAAAATACATGAAGTAGTAGTACCTAGTAGTACCTAGTTTTAAGTAGAAGCTATGTACTATATTAAAATAAATTAATTCAAAATTTTTTGATGTTATCATGCATCAAACAAACAAAAAAACTCCACAAAACGGCACAATTCTTATGGGAAATAATTCTACTTAGAAGTGTTGGAAATAGATCATATAACAATGTAACAATGTTGAATGACCTTATAAAACATTTCCCCATCCCAAGGATATCTCCGTTTTCATCTAATCAGTCAACTTTTTTTCCCATTTTAAAGCAGCAAAGATGACAATGAAGTGAATATGTAAAAGCAAAACTTTTAGTTGGTCGATCACATTGTTGCTCCAGACAATTATATTTCAAATATTTATTAACTGGTCATATCAGAAATATGGGAGATAAGCAGTGTCATTCCCAATCAGCACCCTTTTCGTTATGATATAAAAGTAGCAAATATATCCGGTCAAATACAATTTTTTAGCCAAAGCTCTTCAGATTACAAGATGAAACAGAAAAGACAGTTCTTTGAACACTACCATTTGTTTGACATGAATGCTTGTTGCAATCTTGCTCCTCTTTGGTATCACCAGAACATGGAAGATTGCCTGTAGAGGAACATTGTCGGCTTCTGCTGCGCTTGCCTCCTCCACATTGTTTGCTACATGACGACCATTGTCCCCAAGCCTTGAACTCTGCATATCCTACAATACACAATTAGAACTTCATTGCTTCTTACTATACAAATCTTTAAAATCGTTCTCAATTTCTGACGTGAACACCTTTTAATCCTTTCTGAATTATTTTGTAAAAAAAAAAATTATCTACCGTGGTCTTTGTTACACAGATCCCCGGTGCAACACATGGTGCATTCCTTGTCTTTTGCATCACATTTAGGCTTGCAATCCTTGGTCTTTTCGCATTTCTTGCGAATTTCGCCTTTATCTCTGCGTATCTTTGTTTCACAAGTCTGCAAGATCAAACATTCAAAAGCTTAAGCTCATTTCAAACATCTGCTCATCAACCAACTTCTTTTATTCTTTTAACTGGACTGAATTTTTCTCCCAGTTGGATGGATAACAAAAGGAAGGAGACCTCGTAGATTCTTAATATTTAATTGCTAAGAACGAACATGTATTAAAACGTACATCAATTCAAGCAAAAAACGGTTTAGCAAATGGTTTTTGAAACGAATCTTTGGTAACAGCATGGATCTGCCCAACCCTACGCACATCTTTCCACTTTCAAAGTATTTGCTAGTTTTACCTCTTCATCCTTCTTGCAAGTTTCTATCTTTGTACAGTCACTATTTTTCTTTCCATGTGAGCACGTGTAACATCTCTGTACACCTGAAAATATAAGACATTAAGGATGTTTAAGTCCTGTCTATTGCATTAGAAAATATCAGTTCATTCTTTTTCCTCTCAATACCTTTCTAACTTGGAATTTTATTGGGGAACCCCATAGAACATAGCTGCCCATAGCTGCATATCTAAATAACCTATTTTATATTCGTATAAAACGAGTTTCATTGTAAAATCAATCAGATTGTTTTCAAGTATGCGTTTCCTCCAAAATTGTTTACTCGCCAAAAAGACAAGCATTTCAATTTATCTCGTGGAAAGGTGATAATGATATAGCGAACTTATGTACGCATAAAAATTAAAGTCTTACCCTTAATTCTTTCAGAACTCGAAAGTTAATTCTAATGAGACAAAGACCTCTGCTTTCAAAAATAAGAAAAAAACGAATTAACACATTTTCAACACTACCTTTCGGAGGACATGAGTGCTTGTTGCAATCTTGCTCCTCTTTGGTATCACCAGAACATGGAAGATTGCCTGTAGAAGAACACTGTCTGCTTCTGCTGCGCTTGCCTCCTCCACATTGTTTGCTACATGACGACCATTGTCCCCAAGCTTTGAACTCAGCATATCCTAATTAACAAAATCACACTTCTTATAACACATAATTCTTCCAAGACGTTTCACAATTTCTTCCGTAAACACGAATTATATTTAAATTTCTTTTGTTATTTTACGTTAATTTTCTTCCTACCATGATCTTTGTTACACAGATCCCCGGTGCAACACATGGTGCATTCCTTGTCTTTCGCATCACATTTAGGCTTGCAATCCTTGGTCTTTTCACATTTCTTGCGAATTTCATCTTTATCTCTGCGTATCTTTGTTTCACAAGTCTACAAATTCAAACATTCCAAAACTTATCAAAAACATCTGCTTATCAACCAACTTCTTTCATTCTCTTGCATGCACTTAATTTTCTCAGTTTTGAGTTTAAAAGGAAAACATCGAAGAACATGAATATATCCAATCTATGGACATCTCTCCACTTTCAAAGTATTTGCTAGTTTTACCTCCTCATCCTTCTTGCAAGTTTCTATCTTTGTACAGTCACTATTTTTCTTTCCGTGTGAGCACGTGTAACATCTCTGTAAAGCTGGAAATACAAAACACATTCATTGTCAGTTTATTCTATTTCAGTAAAAGATATCACTTTATATTCTTTCATGTCAGCTTGCACAAAACCAGAAGGAAAATGCACGAAGAGTACATATTTTTTCAAAATCTGTTTTGAAGTTCTTATTTTATTTGCCTGTAAAAATAATAAACCTAGAAACCAAATTCTTTCATCCACTTATCGCAACCCACCTAAAAGAAATATTCAAAGTGGCTGGCCTACACTAAAACCACTGATGTAACAATCAGATGATATTTTCATTCCTACCTGGTTTAGAATTACAGGTAGTTGATGTCCATTCACATCTTTTAGATTTGTCATCCCAGACAGTTGATCCTGGGCATTTGAAATTATGCAATTTGGAGTTGGAGCATTTGATGAAACCATTACACGTGCTACAGGATTGGTAGTCTCCATTCTTCTTTCCTTTACAATCGCTCACGCAAACTACATTGAAAGGTTTCAGAATCAACATGGTAGTAACAAGTTTGATCTACAGACTTACCTTAAAAAGACGCATTAAATACAACATCAATTACGACTTACACTTCTTTTAAGGGTTTCAAAAATACATGAAGTAGTAGTACCTAGTAGTACCTAGTTTTAAGTAGAAGCTATGTACTATATTAAAATAAATTAATTCAAAATTTTTTGATGTTATCATGAATCAAACAAACAAAAAAACTCCACAAAACGGCACAATTCTTATGGGAAATAATTCTACTTAGAAGTGTTGGAAATAGATCATATAACAATGTAACAATGTTGAATGACCTTATAAAACATTTCCCCATCCCAAGGATATCTCCGTTTTCATCTAATCAGCCAACTTTTTTTCCCATTTTAAAGCAGCAAAGATGACAATGAAGTGAATATGTAAAAGCAAAACTTTTAGTTGGTCGATCACATTGTTGCTCCAGACAATTATATTTCAAATATTTATTAACTGGTCATATCAGAAATATGGGAGATAAGCAGTGTCATTCCCAATCAGCACCCTTTTCGTTATGATATAAAAGTAGCAAATATATCCGGTCAAATACAATTTTTTAGCCAAAGCTCTTCAGATTACAAGATGAAACAGAAAAGACAGTTCTTTGAACACTACCATTTGTTTGACATGAATGCTTGTTGCAATCTTGCTCCTCTTTGGTATCACCAGAACATGGAAGATTGCCTGTAGAGGAACATTGTCGGCTTCTGCTGCGCTTGCCTCCTCCACATTGTTTGCTACATGACGACCATTGTCCCCAAGCCTTGAACTCTGCATATCCTACAATACACAATTAGAACTTCATTGCTTCTTACTATACAAATCTTTAAAATCGTTCTCAATTTCTGACGTGAACACCTTTTAATCCTTTCTGAATTATTTTGTAAAAAAAAAAAAATTATCTACCGTGGTCTTTGTTACACAGATCCCCGGTGCAACACATGGTGCATTCCTTGTCTTTTGCATCACATTTAGGCTTGCAATCCTTGGTCTTTTCGCATTTCTTGCGAATTTCGCCTTTATCTCTGCGTATCTTTGTTTCACAAGTCTGCAAGATCAAACATTCAAAAGCTTAAGCTCATTTCAAACATCTGCTCATCAACCAACTTCTTTTATTCTTTTAACTGGACTGAATTTTTCTCCCAGTTGGATGGATAACAAAAGGAAGGAGACCTCGTAGATTCTTAATATTTAATTGCTAAGAACGAACATGTATTAAAACGTACATCAATTCAAGCAAAAAACGGTTTAGCAAATGGTTTTTGAAACGAATCTTTGGTAACAGCATGGATCTGCCCAACCCTACGCACATCTTTCCACTTTCAAAGTATTTGCTAGTTTTACCTCCTCATCCTTCTTGCAAGTTTCTATCTTTGTACAGTCACTATTTTTCTTTCCATGTGAGCACGTGTAACATCTCTGTACACCTGAAAATATAAGACATTAAGGATGTTTAAGTCCTGTCTATTGCATTAGAAAATATCAGTTCATTCTTTTTCCTCTCAATACCTTTCTAACTTGGAATTTTATTGGGGAACCCCATAGAACATAGCTGCCTATAGCTGCATATCTAAATAACCTATTTTATATTCGTATAAAACGAGTTTCATTGTAAAATCAATCAGATTGTTTTCAAGTATGCGTTTCCTCCAAAATTGTTTACTCGCCAAAAAGACAAGCATTTCAATTTATCTCGTGGAAAGGTGATAATGATATAGCGAACTTATGTACGCATAAAAATTAAAGTCTTACCCTTAATTCTTTCAGAACTCGAAAGTTAATTCTAATGAGACAAAGACCTCTGCTTTCAAAAATAAGAAAAAACGAATTAACACATTTTCAACACTACCTTTCGGAGGACATGAGTGCTTGTTGCAATCTTGCTCCTCTTTGGTATCACCAGAACATGGAAGATTGCCTGTAGAAGAACACTGTCTGCTTCTGCTGCGCTTGCCTCCTCCACATTGTTTGCTACATGACGACCATTGTCCCCAAGCTTTGAACTCAGCATATCCTAATTAACAAAATCACACTTCTTATAACACATAATTCTTCCAAGACGTTTCACAATTTCTTCCGTAAACACGAATTATATTTAAATTTCTTTTGTTATTTTACGTTAATTTTCTTCCTACCATGATCTTTGTTACACAGATCCCCGGTGCAACACATGGTGCATTCCTTGTCTTTCGCATCACATTTAGGCTTGCAATCCTTGGTCTTTTCACATTTCTTGCGAATTTCATCTTTATCTCTGCGTATCTTTGTTTCACAAGTCTACAAATTCAAACATTCCAAAACTTATTAAAAACATCTGCTTATCAACCAACTTCTTTCATTCTCTTGCATGCACTTAATTTTCTCAGTTTTGAGTTTAAAATGAAAACATCGAAGAACATGAATATATCCAATCTATGGACATCTCTCCACTTTCAAAGTATTTGCTAGTTTTACCTCCTCATCCTTCTTGCAAGTTTCTATCTTTGTACAGTCACTATTTTTCTTTCCATGTGAGCACGTGTAACATCTTTGTAAGGCTGGAAATTTAAAAGACACATATCATGTTAACGTTCATTCTTTTTCAGTAAATATATCAAATTGTACTCCTTTTTTGTCAGCTTACATCAAACGAGAATCATATTTCACGAAGACTTAAAAAAAACTTTTTACCCCTCTCAAAACAAAAAAAAAAAAAAAAAAAAAAAAAGAAAAAGAAAAAGAAAAAAAACAAAGAAAATAAAAACAGAAATCGCTTTATCTGTATTTGTGGAATGGAGATTTAATGTACAGCTAGCCAATTGTTTCAAGGTAAACATGCTATTGTTTGTCATTTTCTAGCCAAATTAACCAAGATTTTAAATTGGGTTGGATAAGAGTGCAAATCTCATGAGATGATTTATGTAGACGAAATCATGTCGGTTTAGGTTGTTCTTTGAAAACTCAAAAGCTAACACTTGACACCTATAAGAGATTATATTCAATTCATAAGTCAGAGCCCTCTACATTTTTTAAAAAGATAAATGACAGAAGAACGGAACTTTATTGAACATTACCTTTTGGTGGACATGTGTGCTTGTTGCAATCTTGCTCCTCTTTGGTATCACCAGAACATGGAAGATTGCCTGTAGAAGAACATTGTCTGCTTCTGCTGCGCTTGCCTCCTCCACATTGTTTGCTACATGACGACCATTGTCCCCAAGCCTTGAACTCAGCATATCCTAATAAACAAAAAAACATTTTTTTACACATAATTCTTCAAGATCTTTGACACTTTCAGCAGTAAATACAATTTTTTTGTATCTTTCAGAGAATTTCTCCATTAAAATTCTATCTACCATGATCTTTGTTACATAGATCCCCGGTGCAACACATAGTACACTCCTTGTCTTTTGCATCACACTTGGGCTTGCAATCCTTGGTCTTTTCGCATTTCTTGCGAATTTCACCTTTATCCCTGCGTATTTTCGTTTCACAACTCTGCAAGATCAAACAGTCAAAAGCTGATCAAAAACATCTGCTCATTGACCAACTTTCTTCCTTATTCAGTTCCCTAAGTTTTGAACATATTGTTTTACTCTTTTTTTCTTTTTTCTTGGTGCTTTTTTGTCGGCGATGATCTCGGAAACTACTTATCCGATTGAAGTGAAACCTCTGTTGGGTTAATAGCGATGTTGTGTTGATTTGCAGAACGAATATTATATTGCGCGCACTTCTATGAACGTGCATTGAGTGAATTGATTGATTTACTTTATTTATCGGTAACTTTTACATTTTTGATGAAAAGCTTTAGAACCCAAAATATAAGGATACATTAACAGATTAAACAAGATAACACGGTCAAATTAGTATGAACCCACGCACATGCATGATATTATTTGACTGATACAAAAATCTCAATATCTTGCTTGTTTTTTCAGAAAATACTTTGAAATTTAAAACATAGATATATCTTATTAGTTCTGTATTATGTTATATCCAAAATCTCGAAAACGTTTTTGATTGGCTGAACCTTTAACTGGCTGTGAGTTCCTTAGTTTTCAACAAAAGAGAATGAAACTAAGAACATAGATAGGTATAATGGGTTCCCACATTATGCTACCATTAAAATTGAAGTCAACGACATGCATGAACACGTGCAGAAAACGTATTAGCTACATGTAATACTTTACAGGCTGTATCTCTCTTACTACTCAAAAGACTACTTTGAAATTTAAAACATGGATATATATTATAAAGTACTATTAGAATATATATGTGGTAAATTTAATACGCGCAAGCACGCCTTCTGAAATCTGATTGGCTAAAATTGTGAGAATTTATATCTTAGTTATATCTTAGAAGACGAAATTCAGAGTGTATGTAAATTATGGAATCATCAGAAATGAATATGAGGACATGCATGCACATGTGAATTGTGATTGGTTAATATTTGGGTTGCTTTAACTAGCTAGGTTTTCGGTAAAATTCTTTGAAATCTAAAATTTGTTAAGATAATGTATATACAAATTTTCAAAACACATGCATGAACATGCACTCTATGTGCATTGATTGTATTTCCCCAAAATAAAATAAGATGTGAAAGTCTATATTATAAGGATTTTGTCTAGTTTAATGTAGTGTATAGGGAACAGGGCACCAAAAGGGAATAGGGGAGTGTTCCCGGAACATCTGGGACGGTATCCGTTACAATTAGGACTAGTTTTATCTGGACTAAAGTTTTTTTTTTTAAAGAAAATAAGATTTCAGAAGGAAAGATACCTCAAAGATTGTGAATATGTTTAGAAAAGTTTATAAAATGTTCAACATCATTACAAGCAATCAACAACCTGTAAAAGGAATTTTGAAACGAATCTTTGTTAAAATCATGAATCTGTCCAACATATTGGCAGCTCTCCGCTTTCAAAGTAATGTGATATATTACCTCTTCATCCTTCTTGCAAGTTTCTATCTTTGTACAGTCACTATTTTTCTTTCCGTGTGAGCATGTATAACATCTCTGTAAAGCTGGAAAATAAAAAGACACTAATCAAGTTAAAGTTTATCCTTTTACATTGAATAGATAGAATCATACTCCTTTCATGTCAGCTTTCATTAAACGAGAATATTGCAAGGAGACCAACATTTTTAAAAACCTTTTTAGAACTTCTTGAATTACCCCGCTATACATTTTCTTAGCCTTCTAAAATCTTGAACAATAAAAACAAAATTTTTCCCCCACCAAATTCACCCATAAATATATACAAGATGAAATTTTTGGTATTTTCAATATGTATGAGAGAAAATCAATTCATAAATTCGCAATATTAGAGTTTCTTATAACCATAAAGTTGTCCAATTTATGAATGTTTTTTGGTATCCATACCCTCACTAAATCCCTATAACCGTATATTTGCTTTATCTGTATTCGTACAATTTAGTTCTAATATTCAACTTTCCAATAGTTTCCAGGCATACATGCATGTATCTCTTTTCTTGCCAAAATAACAACAAAATAAATAAATAAATAAATAAATTTGTTGTAAAAAGATGCAAATCTTTTAAGTAGATTTATGTTGACGAGATTATATCAGTTTAAGCCGTTCTTTGAGATTTCAAAAGCTATTATTCTTAACACCTGAAACAGATCATTTTCAATTCATTAGCTAAATCCCTCTACATCTCAAAGATAAGATAGAAAGAAATGAAATTCATTGAACAATACCTTTCGGTGGACAGGTGTGCTTGTTGCAATCTTGCTCCTCTTTGGTATCACCAGAACAAGGAAGATTGCCTGTAGAGGAACATTGTCTACTTCTGCTGCGCTTGCCTCCTCCACATTGTTTGCTACATGATGACCACTGACCCCAAGCCTTGAACTCAGCATATCCTGGAGAACAAAATCACATTTCTTTCTATATATATCTTTACATAAACATTATTCTTCAATACCTTTTTGAAATTTGCTATTATTGCAAATTATTGAAAACTTTTCCGATTATTTTTCTCTTAAAACTCCATTTACCATGATCTTTGTTACACAGATCCCCGGTGCAACACATTGTGCATTCCTTATCTTTGGCATCACACTTGGGCTTGCAATACTTGGTCTTTTCGCATTTCTTGCGAATTTCACCTTTATCTCGACGTATTTTTGTTTCACAACTCTGCAAGATTAAAAGGGAATTGCGCATAACTGCTCACAGATTAACTTCCTTTCAAATTTTACCTGAATTTATTTTTTCTTATTTAAGATTTAAGAAAAAGAAAAGATTTTAGATGGTCATTTCTCAGAACAGAGAATGAATTTTCAAATGAATTACTGGTAACAGCATAAATCTCGTCGATTTATTGACATCTCCTCATTTTCAAAGTAATTGATCGTTTTACCTCCTCATCGTTCTTGCAAGTTTCTATTTTTGTACAGTCACTATTTTTCTTTCCATGTGAACATGTGTAGCATCTCTGTAAAGCTGGAAATATATAAAACACTAGTAATTTTTATGTTTGTTTTATTACAGTAAATAAATTAAATTACACCTTTCCTGTCAGCTTGTATCAAACCAGAATAAAATCGCAAAAAGAGTACAATTTTCCGGCGAAATGCCTTTAGAACTTTTCGAAATATTAACAAAATTCTTTCACCCACTCATCCATACCCACCACGTAAATATTGAAGATATAATTCGTTATTTTTAATCTCCACAGGACACAAAATCGCTATATTACCGAATTTTCTATATCAGAGTTCCTTATACCGTAAATTTACCCAATTTTAGAATGCCGGGGGACTCCAAAACCTATCCTTTATCCATATATTCTCGTTATCCTTCCGGAACTTCTTGAAATATACTTCGTCTGATTAAATCATTGACAGTGGAAACAAAACTCATTCATTCAGTCATAAAAAATGCAATGTAGCTTGCATATACTAAAACCACTGATGTTTCAAAAAGTGGACATTTTCATTTATACCTGGTTTAGAATTACAGGTAGTTGATGTCCATTCACATCTTTTAGATTTGTCATCCCAGACAGTTGATCCTGGACATTTGAAATTATGCAATTTGGAGTTGGAGCATTTGATGAAACCATTACATGTGCTACAGGATTGGTAATCTCCATTCTTTCTACCTTTACAATCCTTAACACAAACTGTAAATCAAAATTATAAAATCGCCATTAGCCTGTTTGTAACAATCCTGATCGAACTTTTCTTATAGAGACCACACACATCACGAATATAACTTAAACAAGTATTGTTACATGTATATGGATGACGTCTTTCATAACAATACTTTTTTTAAAAAAAAATATATTTTTTAGTTAAGTTAAAATGTAAAAATCTTTTTCAGTACAAGGAACTTGAAACCCATCAATGATAAATATTAAACTTCAATCCATACCACATCAGTATAAAAAAAAAAAAAGAAAAAAAAAAAAATTACCTGTTGTAGAGGTACAGGCTTGTTTGTTGCAATCTTCGTCTTCTTTGGTAGCTCCGGAACATGGAATACTGTTTGTCGACGAACATTGCCTGCTTCTGCTGCGCTTGCCCCCTCCACATGGTTCGCTACAAGATGACCATTGCCCCCAAGCCTTGAACGAAGCATAACCTAATGAACAAATTCACATTTCATTTAAAATCTTTGATGTGTTGAGACCTTATACTGCAGGACTTAAGGAAAATTTATTTACAGAAGTAATATTTCAAAACCTTTTATAACTTATTTTAAGTGAGAATTGCTTCTACCTTGGTCTTTGTTACACAGATCCCCCGTGCAACACCTGGTGCATTCTTTGTCATTAGGGAGACACTTAGTCTTGCAATCCTTGGTCTTTCTGCATTTCATCTTAATTTCATCTTTATCTCTGCGTATTTTTGTTTCACAGGACTTCAAAAATAATAATAGCTAGTTTTGACATCTGCTCATTTACTACTTTTCTTCCAGGTCGATTATTTTTACAATTATTATTTTACAAAAAATGGAGAGGGGATAGGCCTAAAGATTTCAAATAAGTTATTTTAAAAATATAGAACGTTCAAAAATATCGATAGCATTCAACAGTCTAGCTATAAAATGAAATTCCACTTTCAAGTTATGGCTAGTTATGACATTTCACCTCTTCATCCTTCTTGCAAGTTTCTATCTTTGTACAGTCACTATTTTTCTTTCCATATGAGCATGTGTAACATCTCTGTACAGCTGAAAATATAAAAAATACTAATGATGTCTAAGTTCATTCTATAGCAGTAAAATCCATAAAATCATGCATTTAACCCGAATGGATTGCACGAAAGAGTTTAGTTCTCCCAAACATTCTACTAGGACCTCTAAAAGTATATTATAATTTTATTATATATATATATATATATATATATATATATATATATATATATATATATATATATATATATATATATATATATATATATATATATTCGTCTGCAACCGTATCATTTGACACAGTATATCACCCCCATCCCCCCCCCCCCCCAAAAAAAAGAGAAAAAATAGAAGAAAAAGTACTGTTCGTGCACCAAAAAGGTGATGTTTCATTAGTTTTCAATTATATCTGGTTTTGAATAACAGGCACATTTTTAATTGATTTCCATTTACATAGTTTGAATTGTCGCCTGCGTGGCGCAGTGGTTAGAGCGTCTGCTCTAGAGTCGCGAAGTAAGGAGTTGATCCTTAGGTCGCGGGTTCGAATCCCACTGTGGGACGTGGAGACCGGTCCTTCGGATGAGACCGTATAAACCGAGGTCCCGTGTCGCAGTAGGTGCTGGCACGAAAAAGATCCCTCACTGCTAAATGGCCGTAAGTGCGCAGTATAGGACAAAATTTGCAGCTCTCCACCGGCAAGTGGTGGCGTCTCCATATGAGTGAAAAATTCTCGAGAGGGACGTTAAACAACATACAAACAAACAAACAAACATAGTTAAATTTGTCATCCCAGACATTAGATCCTGGACATTTGAAATCATACAGTCTGGGGTTGGAGCATTTGATGAATCTGTTACATGTGCTTAAAGATTGGTAATCTGTATTCTTCACCCTTTGCAACTCTTGATGCAAAATAAAATACAGATTATTTCGGGAGACATTATATTATAAGCCTGGCTTTTATACAAGTATTATTGCATACGTGTCTGAGTATTAGCACATAAGCCAACGTAGCCATAGATTTCCTCTGAGAATTTTCACTGAAATTGAGACGTTTTTAGATTTTTCCGAAATTATAATTATGTTTTATACTTAAACCAAATCACATTAATTTTTTTTATTGTCATACCATAACTTAATATGAGTCGCGTTTTTTTTTTTCTCGAAAGATCCATTGCATTGCCATATTATGTCTATCAATTGGGAATGAAACAGTCATAACTTACTAGTATTTCAAAACTGTAATTCAGACGAGAAAGTTATAGTAAGCCGTGACCTTCCTCTAATAAGCTACAAAAGAGTTGCCTACGTTAGGAATATGCCGTCATCTTAGATTTTCTAAGATCAAGGCAATGTTCATTATCGGTTGTCATAGTTAAGGTAGTCCGATCCTCAGATTCTGAAAATCAGGCATTAAATAATTGAAAATGCTCACAAAAATGTCTCTGAAGTCTCAAAGTAATGTGAATTTACCCACGGTAATTGTTCAAACTTCATCATTAAACAAAATCATATTATATAGGAAAAATAAGTACCGGTAGATCTCAAATAAATTTTCAAAAAATGCGAATAAAGACATTTACTATGCATTTTCTAATTGGAAATTGATTTAAAAAACATATTAGGATAAAAAAAAAACCCATAAGTATCCAGGCATTTAAAGAAAATTGCATGATTTTTATACATATACAGTACTCTAGTTTCTTCTGTGTACTTCAATTATTTTATAATGCATAGTTTATAACGTTTTTCCTATCATTGCACCATAAATCATTTCTAATTTAATATCATGCTTAATAGCATTGGTATCAAAGGCTAAAATAAAGGAAAAGTCACTGTCTTTAAATCTGTATTTTTAACATACCTTTATAGGGTAAAAATATCAACGTTTTAAAAGACTTGTTTGTAAGACTTCAAAAAAACCTTGAATCACATTAAGATGCATAAAATGAAAATTGTTACATGAAAAGATTTCATATTTTAGATAAGAGTTATCCTTCCTGGCTGAGATATCCTAAAATTAGGGTAAATTAGGTCTGCATTTACACAGCTCCTTTTGCTATGGAAATAAGTTTTCAGCGACTTTTAGACGAAGGATTAACTTTTTTTATTTCTTTACTTCTTTATTTTTGAACTGTCTCAGAATAGACAAAAAAATATCTATGCTTATAAATTAATAAATTTTGCAAATTAACTCCGAAACGGAGTCCTTACTAACTCCTCTATGAATACACGAGATACAAGATGATGTCTGTAAACTATATTCAGATTTCACTCGCATTGTAAGTATCGTACTTTAAATTAAAAGTCTACTTTCATTTTCTTTAAACAGCCATGAAATAACAAAAACGTGAGTACGGTGGCGATTCAGGTAGGCGGATCTAAGTTACTGGCAATTTTCAATGAAATTGACAACGCAATCGTTTATTTATTTCATAAAACGTCATGACCGTTCACCGTAGCTCAGTCGGTAGAGCGCTCGCTCCGTGATCGGGAGGTCGTGAGTTCGCGGCTGAACTAAGTCGATAAAAAATGAGTAGCAACTGTTCCTTCGCCATGCGCTCGGCACTTTGAAGTGAAAGTTGCGGATCCTTCGGATGAGACCTTAAAAACCGAGGCCCCGTGTCACGGCGGGCGTTGGCACGATAAAGATCCCTCACTGCTCAATGGCCCTAAGTGCCGAGTAAAGTTCAAAATTTGAAGCCCTTCACCGGTATATGGTGACGTTTCTATATGAGTGAAAAATTCTCGAACGGGACGTAAAACAACATGCAATCAATCAGTCAATCATAAAACGTCATCACTGAATTATTCAATCAAAACTTGATTTAAATGATATAGAAGAAATAAGTTGTGATAACCGATTAAAAAAGGGAAATGTGCAAAGTATTTTCTCATTCACCGATCTTTATATTGACGGAAACTTCTAAAACATCATAAAGCATCGAGTCCGATGTTAAAAAGAAAAACGAGGCGATTATAGTTAGATGAACATAAAAAAAAAACTTTTTGAAATAATGGTAAATCAATGATAACACTATAAGTTGTGAATATATTTATATATCGAAAGACTATTGGTAGGTTTTCCTAATAAATTTATCGGTAAAATTTGTATATTCCTCACTGAGAGCAAAGTGGCAACGAACCCGAAGTACAATTTGTACTTCTTAATAATTTTGCTTACGACAAGTGTCGTCCCCCCCCCCCCCAAAGTACAATTATAGTAAACTATAGTTTACTATAGTTAACTATTAATAGTTCTTGTATCTTTACAGATAATTTAAAAAAAAAATAAATGATATGTAATTTAAAAAATTAATTTGGGGCGCCAAAATCTTTTAAAAAATTCTGAAGTAAAGTTTTAGAGTAAATCAGAGTATCAAAGTAATTACTATAGTAAACTATAACTATAGTAAATTTTTGTTAGGGATTCCAAGCAGGCACCCGTGACAAAAAAGCATTACCCTAGCGCTGATATCGGAGATAGGAAAACTAATGTGGTGTTTGTCTATTTATGACTCGTGTTCAGCTTGAACAGTGAATTGTCTAAATTTGTTGAGTCTAACACCTAAATAGCTAAAAAAAAAAATCTCGGAATAAAGAAAAGAAAAAAAACAAACCAAAATCCCACTGCTCCAATGAACAGAACGAATGCCTGATTTTAATTTCATTGGAAATGTACGATTACTCCTAAAGAATCGAGCTTATACAACATACATAAAGGGAAATCTGTTGATTATTGCATGTGGATCTATTTTGTCACAAGTATGCAATATATGTAAAAATAGAATTCAATGTAGAATACGTCCCTATAAATGTTTCCAAAAGAGAATTTCAGTTTATACATTCTTAAAATTGTCTATTGTATACCTGTTTCAAAATGCGATTATGCATATTATGAAAAATTCAATATACAGTACTTGTATCTGTATTGGCACCCTATGCCAGTCCTAGTCAGTTTGTAAGAAAAATTATATTATGACAACCGCTAACATTTCTGGACGATTTCGTGCTTGCTGTAACTGTATTGAACCCTATATCGGCTTTGGTCAGTTTCTTATTTTTTTTTTTAGCTACTTACCTGATTTGGACGATTTCGAGCATTCTGTGACGTACACGGCAACCACAAGTAGGAGGAATAGCGCTAGGCCACCTGAGAAGCAACCTGAAATAGAATGATTAACTGATTTATTCATTCATTCCTTCATTTATTCATTCCTTCATTCTTGAAACAAGTATATTGCAATTTGTCGCATATTAATTCGTAGAAGAAAAGATTGACATAGAAAAAAAAATTAACTGTTTTTATTATTATTATTATTATTATAGCCCATTACACTATTTAAGCCTTTATATAACATTTTGGGAAATTATGATAGAAATCCTACGATAATGCAGTTAACAATGTCCGGTTACAAAAGTAGTGGAAAATGTTAATATGATCAAAGTAGGAATTTAAATGCATGTCTTTTACTTTCATTGTCCTCGTTAAAGGAATTAGTTTAAAGAAAATCATGCTATAGAACACTAAAGTACATGAGTATTCATTTTGGAATGAGAGGTCAATAATGCGTAGACATACATGTATTTAGTTCTTTTAGAATTTATGTTGAATCTATTGAATACAAAACGAGAAAAAGAATTTTAAAACCTAAACTGTAACATAAATGAAACAAATAACTATCTTTTATTGAAATGAGATAAACATGATAATCAGAATCGAATATACACTGTAGTAATTTATGGCATATTGCAACCAGACGCGTACTTATTAATGTAAAAAAAATTGCAGGAAAAATTCCGGGAAATTTCCTAAAAGTTTAAAAATACATTTTATTATTTTGAATTTATACAAATTGGAGAGCTAAGATAAGTTCTATTTTTAAAAAATTGTAACAGATTCCCTAATGTCGTATTTTTTCCCTCCAAAATAACATCAATATACATTACCCATTCCGCAGAGATAGCGGGACCCAGTGTGATTCTCGCCTGGCAAGTCGCGAGTAATAGGGTGTGAAATCCATGTACGTCATAGATTTCTTAACCTCTCTTTGGCACAGTTTCCTAGAGAAGGTTAATTACTTAATGCGTTTTATTGCACACGAAGTTCACATTGTGTAAGTTTACGGCAGATTTGATGCGCAATCGCAAGGTGTCGCAATTTTACTTTTATTCTTTGAGGCTGTTGCAGTTTCAAAAAACGAAAATCAAGTTTGCTTTTATTTGCATTAAACTTATATCATTATACCCGCTTTTTCAAAAGAAAGTTCGGGTATATATTTTTGTTATCCCGGTCCGTCCGTTTATCAGACTATCGCTTTCCTCAAACTTCTCACTGGCCAATTCATCTGGAATATGATTGGTGGTGTCTTGGCTGGACATGTGCAATAAGATTTTGAATTTTTCTTATCGTCCTAAGAGCCAAATGGGGGTCAAAATTGACTTTTTTCACAAAAACCTGGTTCCCTGAACTCTTCATGCATTTTTCGCAGAAGCCCATTCATATTTTGGAAGATGATTGGTGGTGTCCTGTAGATGTGCAATATAGCTTTCGGAATTGTAATTTTCACCCTAGGGGCTGATAGGGACTGGGTCTTGAAAACAACAATTTTCTACACAAACCTGGTTTCCTGAACTCCTCTTACATTTTATGCAGAAATTGTCCAATGAGTCGTAAATGTATTTTTATTATACAATAGCATACGGGTTTCTTTCTTTTTACATAGCTTTGCGTTAACTTTTAATTTCAAATAAAGCAGGAAAACAGAACTGGGGTGGAGGTTAGCAAAATGTGTCGGGGTTATCCCCACTCAAATACCAATAAAAGTTTGCAAAATTTATTTTAAAAGCTATCATTTTGGCAACTAAAATTTCATCAGTTCATCAAAATTGTTATGCATTGAAATGACAATTATGCAATTATGAACTACAAGTTCCAATTTTGGGCTGAAAATTTACCCCCCTTCCTCTTCGAAAACTCTCATTTAAACAGAATTTACTTCGCTAAATTAAATGTAAATTCAGATTCATACATGTATAATATTTTTATGTACTTACATTAGAGGCCCAAGAGACACATGCTAATCTGAGCATTTTGTCATGCTTAATTTGATACATTTATATTTTGTGTAATTTATAGAATTATTGTGGCTTATTCCCTGGTTACCAAAATATGAAAAAGAGTATATGTAGAGGCAAACACCCACATATGGGTATTTGTCGCCCGCATATCGCAGTGGAGCATTTGCTCTAAGACTCGCGAAGTAAGGAGTTGATCGATTCGAATCCCACTACGGGACTTGGAGATCGAAACCGTACAAACCGAGGTGCCGTGTCGCAATAGGTGCTGGCTCGAAAAAGATCCCACATTGCTCAAAGGTCGTAAGTGCCGAGTACAGGTCTAAATTTGCACCCTCCAACGGCAAGTGGTTGCGTCTCATTCTCAAAAGGACGTTAAAAAACAAGCAAACAAACAAACTTGTGGGTATAACTGTCTTATGATGGCATATAGTTCTTTTGTTTTTATGACACCAGGAAACACTTGATAAGATCAGACTTTTCACTCCAGTGCATGATTTAAAATTAAAACAAATTAAAGAACGAAAATCCACAATTCCTCTGATGTTGATGCGGTTTCGACAATTCTAAAATGCTGTATTTTTGAAACAAAATCATGTTCACTTTTTACCCTAAGTCTAAAGATTTACTGCCTTCAAATACATTTTCCTCCGGTTTTACCGGAAATTATTACAGAAATTATAAACAATGATATAAAAATTTTATATTAGATTTTGTACTTGTTACAAATTAACTACGACCTATGAATTACATTTGACAATAATAAGTCTAAAAAGTATAATATTTTTTTTCAAAATATTTTATGACATAAATTGGACACAGTACTTAAATGTACCTTGCCAGTCTATTAATTACAGACAAGTCTACTTAGAACGATTTATATTTAATCCTAGTTAAGGCTGCATGAGGTAATGTCCCATAATATTTGATCTTTGGCAATTTTAATTATTTTTCAAAGGGGAAGGGGATACAATAATTAAAGGCATTTTACTTGCATATTAAATATCAAGAAAAATGGGGTACTGGGGGGGGGGAGCTGTGGTCTTCGTTTGTACATTATTGCCTAACATCTCATATTAATTGATAGTCCTGTACATTATGTTTACCTCGCCCTCCAGCGTCATTACTAAACAGGTAAATAGAACATGCCATTCCCAATCTCAAAAAGACACAGTTCTCAATCTCTTAAGTTATACATTTGCTTGTTAAGCATTATGCAAGTTTGAAAAATCTTCAGTATAACGTTTATTTTTATACATGAATTTATTTATGAAGTTGATATTAAAAAAATGCTTGAGTTTCTGATTGACAATATGTATGTTGATTTTGGAGACCATGTCTTTCAATAATCTGTTGGGTACCAATTGCGCCCCGTTGTTAGCAGACCTATTTTTGTATTCATATGAAGCAGAATTTAGTCAAAATCTTATACTTAAGAAAAAGAAATCTTTTGCTGTGGACTTCAACTCGACAGTAAGATATATCGACGGCGTATATTTATCAATTAACAATAGTTATTTCCATTCATATATCGACACGATATATCCCAGTGAGTTTGAAATAAAAGATAAAACAGAGTCTGACACATCTGTTTCATATTTGGATATTTTACTAGAAAAAGAGGTAAATAGTAATCTAACAACAAAGCTTTATAATAAACTTGATGAATTTAACTTTTCAATCGTCAACTTCCCTTACTTATGCAGCAATATACCTTCATCACCTGCATATGGGGTGTATATCTCTCAGTTGATTCGATACGCAAGAACATGATCTACGTATGAACAATTTCTAAAACGAGGTAAATTATTGACAAACAAGTTGATGAAACAAGAATATCAACAGTCTCGTTTAAAGTCATCATTTCGTGAGTTCTATCTATATCTATACAAAAACCTTGTCAGCAAAAAATCTATCATTAATTAAGTCATATGCTGATTGATGTTTTTCATGCCAATTAGCAGTCCATTATTTACACACTGTCGACGGATTTTTCCGTTGTTTACCGATCATGAAATGGAGCACACAGCGGGTGTGACCGGTCGACAGGGGATGCTAACTCCTCCATGGCACCTGACCCCATCTTTGGTGTTTTTGGAGGTCCATGTTTGCTCTGCTCCCGATTTGTATTATTTTAATGGACTTTGAGCTTGAATACCAGGCCTCTAAGTGGCCTCTAAAAATTAGGCGCCAGCTGGCGCCTGATAAAAAAAAATTAGTCGCCAATGCAAATTTTTAGTCGCCAGGCAATTTTTCTAAGGCGCCAAGTTTAAAAGTTAAGAGAATATAGGGACCCATGACGTGCCTAAGAAAACATGACATGTCCATTGCTAAAAAAAAATATTCCTCTTCTTTTAAAATTCTTTTTCCTTTTTCAGAAAATTGTTAAAAATGTGAAAATTTCTGGAATTCGATGATCGCCAAGTCAATTTAAAATGGTCGCCAATTTGGCGACTTATGGAAAATTCTTACGCGCCAATCAAAACTTTTAGGCGCCATGGCGACTAAATTAGTCGCCAATTAGAGCCCTGAATACTATTAATGACTTTTATTAAAGATTTTTAAAGATTATATTCCTGTAAGTTTTATCTTTTATCCCCCCACCTTTGGGGTTATTGACTGAATTGAACAATACTGAATCTATACTATTTGAGGATGCTTCAGTTCTGTTATATTATGACTACTCATGGCTTTGCTGTTCTCGAAAATAGGGATTTTAATAATCTTTCCTATGTAAAACTTTGATCACCTCTTGTGGCCCCACCGGCAAGTTTGGTTGAATATACCCAGTGGTTCTAGCGAAGTAGATGAAATTGTAAAAAAAAAATTAACGATGACAACGACGTCGACCACAACGACGACAGACAACGGACAAATTTTGATCAGAAAAGCCCACTTGAGCCTTTGGCTCAGGTGAGCTAAACAAAAGGCCCATGGGCCACATCACACACCTGAGCACATTGACTAGAAAAGAGCAGAAATCAGCCCAGTAGTGACAGGGGGGATAAACTTTAATTTACACTACCTCAGGATAATTCCATATCAATATTACTGATCATGGCTTTGCTGTTCTTTAACAGAAGAATTTTACAGATTTTCCCATGTAAAACTCAGATCGCTCATGGTAGCCCCACCCTACCACCCTATATTTGAATAAATTTGAATCTACACTACCTGAGGATATTTCTATAATAATATGACTTATCATGGCTCTGCTGTTGTTGAGCAGATTTTTTCAAGATGATTCCTATTTATTCTTATGCAAAACTTTGACTCTCTGTTGTGTCCCCATCCTATGGGGGCCATAATTTGAACAAACTTGATTTTACAATACCTAAGATTGCTTTTGTATAAATATGACTAATAAATAATAATGGCTTAGTTGTTCTTGAGAAGATTTTAAAGATATGTCCTATGTAACTTGTATGATCAGGTTCTTACAAGGTACATGCATATATAGTTTTCCATTTACTCTCTGTCTGAGGGTAAATCATGCAGTACTTAAATTTTCTCTTATCAAGAGACAGGGACTGGGTAAGATACTACTTGCACCGTGTTTCTCCCTAAGTTCCCATTGATAGATAAAAATGGGTGACTCAATCTTCAGATTTACTACACCCAGAACTTAACATCAATTCCCTAGGATACTTGCCACTGGTGTTTATAACTATTATACTTTTATTTTGCTCTTACTCGTAACTTCTTTATTGCTGATTCAACATCAACTACCTCAGCTAGCTTCTGAATGCCTGACATCTCCAAAGCTTTGCCGTTGTATACCTTTTGGTTTGGTTAGTCCATTCCAAGGGTTGTCAGGTTATTCCACTATCTGAAGTCATCAATGCGTTTAACTTAAACTTTGACCCACTGTTTTGGCCCCGTCCTACCCCTCAGGGGTCATGATTTAAACAAACTTGAATCTACACTACCTGAGGTCGCCCGCGTGGCGCAGTGGTTAGAGCGTCTGCTCTAGAGTCGCGGCGTAAGGAGTTGATCCTTACGTCGCGGGTTCGAATCCCACTGTGGGATGTGGAGACCGGTCCTTCGGATGAGACCGTATAAACCGAGGTCCCGTGTCGCAGTAGGTGCTGGCACGAAAAAGATCCCTCACTGCTCAATGGCCTTAAGTGCCGAGTACAGGACAAAATTTGCAGCTCTCCACCGGCAAGTGGTGGCGTCTCCATATGAGTGAAAAATTCTCGAGAGGGACGTTAAACAACACACAAACAAACACTACCTGAGAATACTTCTGTATTAATATAACTAATAATGGTTTAGCTGTTTGTGAGAAGATTTTTAAAGGT